TATGAAGAAAAATAGCCAAAGATTTCTGCTCTCCAAGGCCAGGGTGACATTATGTTTTTGACAAATTTGTAGATTACAGTTGCAGGGCTGTGCTGTACTTGGGGACAGCTACTGCAAGAAAGACCAACTGATTGTGTGGCCACAGTTTTAATTCAATGGCTGAGGAGAGAAGAGTACATATGCCAGGCAACCTTGAGCAGTGTGATCAAGACCTGATAGAGGATATATTTTAGTTCTATATAAAAAAGAAAACAAAAGGCAAACCCTATTAGCAAAATGACCTTTAGAAAGGGGTTTCCGGGGCTTTTGTACTAATAAAAAATCCATAGTAACACAATTGAAGAGGCGTAGGTTTTGAAGAGCTTGGTCATTATTTGGAGATGGATACTGGGAAGATACTTGCTTTTGCAAGATGAAGGATCTGTGGGGACAAGAGGTGAACAGATCTGACCCAGCACACCATTTACACTGTAAAGCAGAGTGGAATCTGCTATTTAATTATAGATTGAAGCTCAAGTTTCTAGGGAGGAGGACAGAGAGACAGAAGAAGCAATGTACTTCATAGACAATTAGTGATAAATTATTAAGCATGCACAGTAAGACATAGGGGTCTTGGGAAATCACTCATCTTTGTTTTTAAAAAAAGACTGAAAATTCGACCATATGTTATGTTATTCCAGGAAGGATGGAGAATTTAAATTTGGGGGTGGAATTTGGTTTAGATCCGTAGATATGATTGCGTGTCAGCACGCTGATGTGGCTGGCTTTATAAGTGAGGCAGTTAGCAAATAGCCTAGCTACAAGCTAGGCATATAGGTACCAGGAAATCATAGGGATGGGGCGCAGGGTGCCTCCCCCAGTTTGTACACAAGCTCACAGAAAGCTGGAGACTAGACACACAAATCGATGTAAGAGAAACAGGAGAGAAAAGTTAATTCACATTTAAGCATGCAGGGACACATTGATTAATCTGCCTTTCAGGAAGCATTTGAATGCATGCATTTGGTAACAGTGGGGTAGTGTCCTGCAGGGCAGGGACTGAAGAGGACCAGACTGCCTCATTTAAGCCCTGGAGATTCTTGGGCAGGCTTCCCACTGTTGTGTTTCTTTGAAAGTTTATGCTTTTCTGAATTCTCAATCATGAAGAAAAAAAAATTGGGAAAATTTAAACTTGGTCATCACAGAGACCATTGGTTTGCAGAAGTGAAAGCAAAACCAAGCACAAAGAGTTTGAAGATGAAAGCCAACATTTCTAGAATCAGAACAGGAGGGCTCAGGAGAGAATTGGCTCTGATCTAATCAGTTGGTCTGGCTCCTGGCTGTTGTCACATGTTTCATTTGCGTTCCTGGCTCTGTCTGATGCTAATGGAGCTCATTCTTGCAGGTAAAATAAATATTTGTAACTCTATACAGAGCCTACTTGATACAAACCCTGTCAGTAGCATTTCTCAAAATATCGCATTATAACTTGGCGGCAAATGGAGTTCTAATGGGCATTTCCCACCTGTGATTTTGTTTTCCTGGCTGACAGGCTCACACATCCATTACAGCTCAGACACCCCTAACCTAAAATTCTCAAATTCCAAACTCTCCAAAGCCTGACCTTCCTGAATGTTGACATGTTACAAGTGGGAAATCCCTCTGATTTCCTGACCTCAAGGTACAGGTCATGTTGAAATATGGCAACACTAAAAACACTGTATAAGTTCACCCTCAGACCGTGTGTATAAAGTAGAAAGAAATATAGGTGAGTTTTGTGTTTAGCCTTAGGTCCCATCCCTAAAACATCTCATTGCTTGTACCTGCATGAAGATAGTCTAATCTGAGGCATTTCTGGTGCTAAGCATTTGGGATATGAGAGACTCATCTGTTTTAAATTCTATCTAGCCACATTCACTAGCACTTTCCAGTGTGTTAACAGAGCTCTAACACAACAGCCCCTAGTGATGAAGGCCTGCAGCTTGTGGCTGAGAGATGTGCATATATTCCTGCGCACCGTGAGCTGCTTTGCTGCCTTGCTATGTCTGAACACTGGCGG